CACACACACACACACACACACACACACACACACACACACACACACACACACACACACACACACACACCGCCCAGCTCAGTGTGGTTTTATCTGCAGTGTTATCAGGTGTGAGGAACATTCATGAGTGACAGAATGTTCACTCTGACAGGTTTCTGGTTTTAAAGCCATCTCTGCTTTCCACAACTGTGACTTAATAAAGTGTAAGAAAAATACATTTCAGAACATTTTAATAAATCAAACGGGCAGTAACAAAGTAATTCTACTTGAGTACTGTATTTAAACAAGTTTGTACTTTACTTGAGATGAATTCTATTCTAAACCTGTTACTTTTACTCTTCTATTCTATTTTAACAATAAAATGATTCTTTAAACTTTAATACATTTCTCTAAAAGCTTTTTACTCRATACTTCTTTTGGCCATGTTTCTGTAGCTTGCATCTATTTTGGTCACACTGTAAAATAACAGCTTACACCCCTGTATGGTGTGGATATGCAGATCCGCTGCAACAAACTGCTCAGCATGCTAACGCACATAGCGGTGCTGCAAGCATAAGTGTCCCCTGGGAAACAGTTAACTGGCCGGCCGCGGGCGAAGTCTCTGCTTGGGTTATGAGTTGGGCTCAGGTTGGTGTGGGCTGATTCCAGCCTGTGACATCATAGGCCGCAGGAAGTTGAAAACTTGACGTTAATATACATGAAAAATACATTTACTTAGAGTAAATATATCCCTGGGTGCATTTTTTTGGTCCTAGGACTGTTTTTTTAAGAGGTACATACCCAAAGTTGAGTACAAAAAAAGTTTAAAAAGTGAATTTTGCATAATAGGTCCCCTTTAAACTGGTTGCAAGGAAAAGAAGAATAATTTTTGTCTTCCTCATGTTGCCTTAGACACACACACTCAGATCAGGCAGAGGGTAATGATGGCTACTATGTAGGCCGTGTTTAAGTAAGACCGTTTTAGACTTTTAGTTCCTTAAACTTTGTTAAATTTTTTTGTACAAAAATGGTTCTAGTTTATTATAACAAAAGTTATTTTCAATTCAGCGAGCTAGTACAAATATTACAAATAACAACTAAAAAGCTCAGATTAGATTCAGAGCTCAGCTCCTTAATGAGTCCTTTMATACTGGACTCTATCAAAAACTGTTCCAAGCCTTGTTGGTGACTGCAATGAGCACAGTTCTTGTAAAAGGGGTATAATCAGTAAGATATGGATTTCAGTGGCAGAGGGGTAGGCATTCACCTTCCAACCAGAGTGTTGCTGGTTCAAATCCAGGCCCGAGCACATACTGCTGTTGTGTTCCTGGGCAAGACTCTAAACCCAACTTCCCCATGTATATACCTGTAAGTGTGATTGTGGTGGTCTGCAGAGTTTCAGCCACTTTCACCACTGAGTGTGACTGAGGAGTAAAGGAATAATGCATGAATTTGTAAAGCATCTAAGAGTGTCTAGAAAAGCATCAAATAAGATTAATGCATTATTATTGTTAATATAGCAGAAAATTGTCCCAGTTACTCTCAACTACTCAAGCATTGTTAAACAACGTCAACATTTTAAGTACTTTCAATACTTGTATGTTTGAAAGCACATACCGGTACTCCAGTACTTTCAGTTTAATTTACAGAGCTACCTATACTTTTATTGGAGTAATGTTTGACCTTTAGGATCAGTACTTTGTCCAGTTCAATTCAATTGTGCCAAGTCACAACATACATCGTTTTAAGGCACTGTACACAAAAAAACAATGTAAGGAAGCCAGCAGATTGTGTTAAATCACTTTGTTATCCTGAGCAGCACATTGGCAACAGTGGAAATGAAAAACTCTCTTTTAACAGGAAGTCCACCACTGATTAAATATCTCCACCTCCTTTTATGCCGGAGATTTGGACCAGGATAATCTCTTAAGAATTTTTTAGCTGTTTCATTGTTCTACCTCATCAAATTTTAACTTAGTATCTAAAATATACTGAGTTAGAGTCATTTTAGTGTTTGCTGAAGTCAGCTGGTGGTGTTGGCCATCTTGAACTGTTTGTTTTTGCTTGAATAAATACACACATCTGGTGCTTGTTTCTGTAGCTAACGAGGTGTTTAGATTGAGACAGTTTGTTGCAGTCTTCTAAAACGTTTGTTTTGTTGTTTCCAGAATGGCTTCACTCCGCTCTACATGGCGGCGCAGGAGAATCACTTGGACGTGGTGCAGTTTCTGCTCGACAACGGCTCCAGCCAGAGCATCGCCACTGAGGTAAAAGCGCTCGCCATGAACGGAACCATCGTAATGCGTGTTTGCATTCTGCAGCCCATAACAGTTACCCTTCGTCCCCGCGCTCGTTTATCCCGCTCGTATAATCGACCTGAAACATTACGACCTGCACTTTCTCTACCTGAGGCTCATTTAGGAGACGTAATATTCAACGTTATCAGCTCTAACTGTCAGGTCAGTCATTTTCTCGGACTGAAGTGGTGATGAGGATTGAGTGAAGAAGATGGAGTCAGCAGCAGTTCAGGGATGATGTGTAAAATTGAAATGCAGGAACTTGAAGCTGTTTGCCATTTTTGGAAACAGCTGTGATGTTTTCAGATCTTTGTCCTTGACGTTTCACAAGCGGCTCCATCTCTTCCCTCCGTTGTTCCCTTTTTTGTCTGCATCTGTCTCCTCCTCAGCCTGTTTTCCAACCACATCTCCTCGTTCCCCTCCTCTCCCCGTCCTCGCGGTCTCCTCCAGGGGGACATGCAGTGAATAATTCATGCAGGGAAATCTATATCCATGTTGGAGGCATCTCTGCGTGTTTAATAATTCATGTTCAGGCATTTCAACAGAGCTCGAGGCAGAAGAAATCAGAAAATGACTTGTTTGTTTTTTACATTTTAGATTTTTTAAACTGTTTATTGGAGATTATGTTTTATTTTTACAGACATACTCTTTTGCKTATTTGTGTAAAAACTGATTATAGCTACTGTTTTGCTACTTTAAGATTCTAACTAGTCTTTTGCTTCTTTTGGCTTTTAGCTAGTCTACTGTTCTGCTTGTTCTAGCATTTAACTAAAGYGCTTCCTTTAGCGGASGGGTGTCAAACTCATTTTCACTGAGGGCCACATGAGTATCAAGGTGGCCTTCGAAGGGCCAGTTGTCGTTTACTTGGATGTTTCATGTTTAACTTCGACTAAACAGGAAACGTCATATTCCTCATCTCATCGCTACGACTGAGCACTGCTAACAACAACTGAGCTCTACCTGGTATTTCCTGCACAGAAACAGTGGTTTTCCTCTTATAAACACTGAAAAGTACTACGTGTACGACTGACTAAAAGTGAAATAAATGATACAGACGTACTATTAAAAGTAAAAATAAAAGAGCTTTACTCATTAGCTGCGTTTCCATTGACCATGAAAATGCGCAAATTAGAATTTTGAAAATAAATTTGCTCAATGGAAGCACGTCAGTTTCGAAAAAAATTTACATTTTTCGACAAAATGGTTTTGTGCTAGGAAGAGGTGGTTTTTCGGCCGTATCRAAATTGATGTATTTCGCAAAACTGCAATGAAAACACTTTTTTCGCATCACGGGAGTCACGTGATCAAGAACTGGCTATTTCTACTGGCGAAAAAGACGAYGAAGAAGATAACAGGAAGTAGAAGTAGTAGTGAAATCACCGAAGTAGTAAAATAAAGTTTTAAACTCACCGACTACATTTTCCCAAAAACACAGCATACGTAGCCGCTCCCAAGTATAAGGGGCTTGTCACTCGAAAGCCTCGATAAAACGCCAACGTCTCTGATGGCTGATGATGAGCACCAGGGTCGTGGTAGCAACATGCTATGTGTTTACATCCATCGCCGCCATATTTGTAATGACTTATTGCGAGAACAAACGTATTCACGCATGACTTTAATAGCATTTCTTACTTAATGGAAACACTGCAGTTGCGAAACTGTGTTTTTTAGACATTAACAGAATATCGACAAAGTTTTGCGCACATTTGCAGTGGAAACGCAGCTACTGATAGTTGTAGTGAGTAGCAGCCATCTTGAATTCTGAACTCTCCCACTTTCTGACAGGGAATACTGACTGGAGGGGCATTCCAGTTTAAATTTACTCCTTGTAAGTAGAAAGTTCTTACTTCACAGTACAACTAAGCTGCAGTAAAAGTAGCTGATGAAAATGCAGCTAAATGTAGGTTTTACACAGCTGCCGGCTGCTTTTGAACCCTGTTGCAGCTCAGATGGAAGCTCAGATGCATCCCACAGCTAGTGGTGGGATGTTGTAACTTGGTGGGTAAAATAAACAACATGTAGTACAGGAGATGTAGTTTATGGCCAATACTGGCTTTAAAGCATCATAATGCTTATTTTAAAGAAATTAATGCATATTTGATGCTCTCGGGGACCACAAAATGCTATAGAGGGACACATTTAGCCCAGGRGTCGTGCATTTGACAAATGTGCTTTAGCTTTTAGTAATGAAATTTTTGCATTGTAAGGCCCGATCTGGGTTCAAAACCGGGTTCTGTGTATTTGCATTTGCCATAATGGCMCACTTCAGCCTGATTTCTGGGACCCACAGACCTGGGGTTCTGTTCGGGCCCAGTTGCTGGAGCYGACTTGACGTCGTCTCGCTCTGTTTCAGCCGGTCTTGAATTGAGTGACCAGATGTCCCAAACTGTGCAGGATTGTTCTGCATTTTTCACCCTTGTCCCGGTGTCCCCGTAGTGTACGTTAAAACAATGTCCCGCATTTGACTGGGTCATATTATAAAAAGAAAAAAATAATAAATCAATAAAAAAATTGACAAACTTTATTTAGTGGCTGCAGTTTGCAACCAKTAGATAATGCCTCCTTAGAGTTCTGTGTCTTTTAGTTTATTTTAGCTTTGTTTGGTTTTATTTTAGAAACAGAACGTTGTGTCGCGTCACTGCAAGTTTTCAAAGCTTGAAGATTAAAATAAAAACTTTCTTTACTTTTATGTTGTCRTCTGTCCGTGTATTTTTAGGACATCAAATTTGCTTTGTGCCTTTTTCTGAATCCACGATGAAACAGGAGAGTTTTGCTCTGAGCTGGCTGTTCTTTGAAATCCTTTATAAACAGCTCATTTTAAGCATCTGATTACGTTTGTGTTCCTGTGGGTGTGACTCTGTGTGTGTTTGTGGATGAGATGATAAACGTGTGTGTGAAGAAGCTCTCCTCTGACTCAGTTTTGTTCTGAAGCATCTCTGAGGGAAGGTTCTGCTTCGATGCGGGGGCGTGTAGAGATGCTGAGTCTGTGTTATCCAGACGGTTGGAGTCCTGTGTAAACAAACAAAATCTGTGAGAGGAAATTTTTTTTTTT